ACATTCTGTAAAATTGTTTGTAGGACATCATAAGCAGGAAATCCAGTGTAAAATCAAATCTTCTCGTTGTCATTGTGAAGTAAGTCTCATTGAATGGCGGTTTAACAGTCGAGGTGTGAAAGAAATAGTCCAACTCCTCTGTTTGAGTCGATGTCCCGTTTCAGTTTCCACTTCCATTGCTGAGTTGGCGTTGAAAGAAATATTGATGAACTTTTCCCCTGGTTCACCAATTTTTGTCTCTTGGAATCGATTTTTTCCCGAAGCCACTTTTCATTTTCTGCCACAACACATTTCATCTCTCAATCTCTGGCTCTCTTGTCTCGCTTTGGGGCATCTTCTTTATTGACTTGAAGCTTTTCGACAGAATCACATTTATCATGACCTAAATTTTGGGTTGGAATCCAATCTGGATTGTACCTATCACACAGTTTTGCCGCTTTTCCGAAGATAAAATGTCTACCACAGACTCATGCGTGATCCAAAATGCTGTCTGTGAGATCATCTCGACTGACGGCGGAAATCCATTTTTTTCATCTTTACTCAGAGAGATTTCTTATTTCTATGCCTTAATTAGTTATAACTGAAGGTATTCTTGCTATATCAATTCCTTTATCATGGATACTGTGAGTTCCACAGCCAAAAATTGCACACAAAACCATTTTTTATAATCTCACACGATATGTATTTACTGTTTACATGTGTACTAATATGGCGGCCAATTGTAAAGTGATCACGTGACTGAAGACGATCTATACTGGGGAAGGTACACTTCAAGAGATGTTTCTCATTCTTAGGAGAGTTGTGAAGGATAAAGTTGTTGAAGAAATGAAGGAGTCCAATTTTTTGGCGTCCTTGTTGACGAAGTGACGGACACTTCTATCCTTCAACAGTTTGTCACATTTGTTTAGTAAGTCCATGAGGGGAAAAGTAGGACAGAGCTTTTACATACAGAACACCTGTCTGAAGTTACAGGTAAAGCACTAACAGGATCCCATGAAGGTGACCTGGAGAAATGTTCTCTTGGGATTTCAAAAATGAAGTCTTGTGTTTCTGATGGGGCTGCTGCAATGCTCGGGGTACATAATGGAATGGTTATGCACATCCAAGAGAAAGTCCCTGACCTCATTAAAATGCACTGCGTTTGTCACCGGTTGGCATTGGCATGTGTTGTCATGTATAAAGAACTGTTGTGCTTGCAGAATCAAATGTGGAAATTTAACAAGTACTTTCGATAGAAAACAGCTATGTTAGTGATGGAACTTCTTAAGTTCCTTCAATCTGAGCAAATGGAGCAGGCCAGGCAGAGAGTAAAGAAAGCCAATAAAGCAGCAGCAACAAGACGGCTTTCACACAAGGCTTTGGTGGAAGCTATGAAGCAAGAGTATGCTGGTCATATTACTGTGTTTGACTTCTTCAATAAATCAGATGCAACAGCATGTGCCCTGTTGACCCACACCCAGAATCACAAGTTTAGCGGTGCAATTTTATTTTACCTCCCCTGGTGATCCTCAGAAAAGCTCTTCAATTTGGGGAACTTACTTTTGATTCAATTCCTTCAGCAATTTCCACCTGCACAGCAAAGTTGGGTAATGTTGTGAGAGAAAAAGATCAAATCCTTGCCCAGTTAAACTGGGATATGGAGCAGAATAGCAAGTTTGGAATGATTGAGCTATCACCTAACGAGACAACTACACAGTTTCTGAGTCATCTCCACATTTCTTATGCAGAGAGTCTAAAGAAGAACATCTCTAATCATTCCCCTAATATTCCACTCAGCTGCTCACTCACTCTTTGATTCAGCAGCTGTCAATGAAAGGATTTCTCCAGAGTTTCAAAAATATGGCAAAGGAACGTTGACCAAACTTGCAGACCACTTCGCCTCTGCATTGGATATTGAAAGGTTAAAATCAGAATGGGATCACTTCAAGTTCATGGCTATAGAGATGAAGCAAGAGTACTCCACAATCAGCACACAACTCAAAACCACTCCAACTGAATGGCTTCTTTCAAAGTTGACACGATTTTAAGTCCTACAGCTTCATGTTCCCCAACCTTGTCACCCTGGGCAGAACTGGCTCCAGAGCATACCTGTCAGCAATGCCTGGCCTGAGAGAGGCACCAGTGCAGTTAAACACCATCAAAACAAGGCTGAGAAACAGGCTCACAGACAAGATGCTCAACAGCTTGCTCCACTTGTCAATCAATGCACCCCCTTCAAGCTCAGTTGACGTTTCTGCCATTATGCAAGGAGCATCAACCAGGTTTGTGGCAATGAAAGAGAGAAGGAAGCTACCTAGCAGACAAGACGTGCAAAAAATTGAAACGGAAGTTGGTATTGCAAGCATGGATCAGAGTCAATCTGTTAGGGTTGAACTGGAAGCAGCAGTCCAGGAACTTGAAGATAAACTTGAGGTTGAAATGATGCATGCTGAACCGATTACTCTACTGTTAAAGAATGTGCTTCTGCAGTTCTGTGATACTGGATGCAATTCAGCGAGTGAGCCAGATGCGACATAAAAGTTAAATCAGACAACATTAATTTTTTATATAGCATTCCCAGCAGAACATTTTGTCTATAACTAGTGCAAACACCGGTCATGTCAGATAACAGTGAAAGTGACAAACCATGTGGTTGCCACAAACTTTAAGTATACCAAAAACTGTGATAAGCTGTGTTTTGGAAAAGAGTTTTGTTATTGTTCAGATTCTCACAAATTAATTAATAGTCACTGAGTTAGCTCCTAGTCTCTGGATACCCCCATTAGGAGCTGACTAGCTTAATACTGATGTGTACAAAATTAATGCTAGTAACTCAAAGTGCAAAGCATTGTGACTGCAGGTAAATATTTCAGTAAATATTACAATGTAAATTTCCCATTGGGATGGTGCAATTTCAACTTTTCTGTGTTGAAAGCCACCAAACAGATAATATTCCGTCAAAATGAAGGAGAATTCATTTCAGAGTACCTAAATTCAAATATTTCCTGGGAGAGCATGGCCCCCGACCCCCTAGATGGGGCCCAAGCTACATGGCCTTCGGCCATACACTTCAATGTTTGCCTATACATTGCAATGCAACGGATGATCAAAATTCTACTCAGAATCCTGATGCTGCTACATCTGCCCTTTTTGACTACACAATTGCAAAGCTGAGTGAGATCAAGGAAAGAAAGCTGCCTATCATAGATTTAAGGAACCCCTCAGACGCCAGCCTGACACTCACAATAGAAGAACAGCTTTCAAGCCTTCTTGCCAGATTTATCAGGTCTCTTGAGGTGAACATCCATAGCCGGTTTGATGCTGCCTTACCAGTAGGGAGTGCTTTCTCTATCTTCGATCCATTGGCTTTTCCAAATCCTGAATGACCTGGCTTCAAAGACTATGGGGCAAATGAAGTGTAGATCTTGGCTAGGCTTTTCTATTCAGACGACACTCGAGAGCATCAGCTAGTCGCTGAATAGGAAATGTTCAAACATGACTTAGCCAGTTGGAAACCTTCCATTCCAGATGAGGTGAAGAGCCACATAATAACATGCACAAAATAGTGTCTCACCCAGCTGATGAAACTTCAGACATCATACTGTCTAGTATTTCCAGCTCTTGTAAACCTTGCCGAAGTCTGCCTTTTAATGCCAGTGTCAAATGCTTGGCAAGAATGTGGGTGCAGTGTGCTGAAACATGTGAAGACAAGACTCAGGAGCTGTTTGTCAACTGAGATGCTTCAGGCACTCCTTGCAATTACCATAAATGGACCAGAGGTGGGTACTCTTGAGTGTAAGTCACTGATGACTGCTGCTATGGATGTCTGCAAGAGTCGGAAGAAATGAAGGAACTTCCAAAAGACATAGCTACACACATTTCAACTGCAAGCCAAGAGACTGCATGGCAAGCTGTTCCTGTCGCAAATACTGCTGCTGATGCAGAAGTAGAGACAGACAAACTTGCTCTATTTGAAAAGTAGCTGTTTAATAGGCAATTGTAGCTTTTATTCAATTTTAAGTGATGATTAAAGTTGATTTGTTTTGATAATGACCCTTCAGCAAATGTACCTACTACATGTAGACCAAGTGCAATTCTCTGATCCTGAAGGCTGCTGATTTTTCAAAATACTGACATAACAAGGGATTGAAAGTAATTACAAAAGAGGGTCCAGATGCACGGTGTTGTGGTATATGCAATCATTTCATTTACATATTGGTCATTTGGATATTAACATTTTCTTTTGTGTGCCAGTTTATATATTTTATTGATTCAGGAAACAAGTGCTACATCTAATTTTATGCTCATAAGCAACTCATTTCCGTAAGTTCTCAAGTGCTTAAACACAACACTTTGGCCAGCAAAATGCATGAAATCGCATCTTTGGCAACCTACAATTTCAAAATTTTCCAAAGGGGTGTGCTCCCGCCCCCCCTAGGTTGGCTCAGCCTTTTGAGCCCAGCTTTATGCTGCCTGCTATGTTTTATTGGCCACATGTGAAACGTTCAACTGAGAACCCTGGTAATGATTGAATGCAATGTTATGCTTTCACTTCCTAAACCAGTGATTCAACAAGAGAAAGTGCACAATGCACTATGGCTCTACTGCCAAGTCTAAAATATTCACCACTCATACCAATCATACCAAGTGTCAAAACTGTTTTACCATCAGTACCTCAACCAAAAACATTTAGAACATCTGAGTCCCAATAACAAGGTGCCTCTTACATATTGTGAACAGATTGTTGACTACATTCACCATTTGTACCAATTCAATATGAATCATCAGCTGTTTTACCTTTCAGTAACAACTTAACATGGTAATATTGCAACATTGTCCTCTAAATGTTCCTAAAACAAACATTTACAAATATGAATGGTGAAGTAATTAATGAATTGCACCTATTGGTTCGTATCAGACCAACCCTCAAAACTGGTACAAATAAGACAACCACTCATAACTAATCAATCACTCACCCTTCAATTTTGTTTCAACATTTTAAGCCTTACTCAATTTCTTACCTTTTCATTTTTACAATTGTCTTGTGACTGCAGATTTTTCAACAATTCTTTAATATAAGTTCCTACACTTAAATCTCTGGGCTTTCTTCTTATCACTGTAACAGCCTATAAGACAATAATTTACCTTACATCAGTATTCACAAGCAAGCCAATTAATGTTGATCACCCATCTTCCACATCACCTGCAACTACCATAACATTACAAAAGTAATGACCCTTGTTTCTTCTGGAATGCAGTCTTTGGGGCTTGATTCTCTCAGGGTCCCTGCTTTTGAGGTGCCCTACTTTCAAGGGTCACTACTATTGGGGAGCAAAAAAGGTTGTATATTCTTAAAGACCATGTTCTCAGTAATCAGCAGGAAAGCTACTCAGATAGTCCAAACTGTTTTCATTCCATGACACACTGCTGCGTTAGTCTACTGTATCAATACCTTAGTATGCTGGTTGTGTTTTAAATTACAATTTAGAAACGTTCCTTTAAATATCCTCCTGTTGAAATTGGTATGTACAGAGTTTTCAATTTTAGTTTGAAGAAAAGTTTCCGTCAGTACATTCTTGTTACTTGATTAAGATTGTATGGGTTTTGTTTTTCACATAGCACAACATGGACTGGTGAAGCACAAAATTGGCATTTCACAATGCTTCATGGCATAAGTGATACTTTCCCTTGTTGTAGACTGCCTGCATTTCCTAACTTTTACTTGATTATTAATAAAGTGTATTATCGTTTGTCTCACGATGTAGTCACTTGAGATGTAGATCGCGACGTTTTGACTGCTTACTGCTAGTCTTCTTCAGGCGATNAGCTTGCCAGTTTTCACGCCAAGGATGACGTGGCTTGCCGTACGATCACTTTTCACTAGTGAAAAACATCGTTCGTCCAATCAGACGCCACGAACGATGTTTTTTCACTAGTGAAATTTCATCATTCGCGTCGCTGATTGGCTGTGACTAAAAACAGAACGATTTTTTCATCACTGTCATCTCTGTGGATAAATCTCAGTACTTATAAAATAAATAACGCTCCCAAACTTGAGTTAAGAACTAAAGTGAAATGCATGTAAGGATTTAGAATTTAACAAAGATAACGTTAAATGAAAACAACTTCTCGTGAACTTAATGCATATTACTTGTCTGTTGGTGGTAAGCAGTAAAATGTAAGTCACACTTGACAAGGTGCCCTTGTTGCTATGTTGTCACTGTAAATCAGTCGATGACTAAAGTTGATTCACTGAGTTGAGTTGGAGTTTATTTTCACAGTGTAACAGCATGTTTTGTTTTGCACACCGAATAAGAGTTATGATATAGAGATTTATAATTAATAGATGGAAATTGCACGATTTTTACCGCCTCAATAGTCAGAGCGAAAATAAAGTCACATTTGACAAAGCGTCTTCCCTGTTATATTGTTGTCAAGAGGGTTCGTCAAGTGGAATGGAGTTGATTTTACCGTGAAAAACCCTATATAGCACGTGAAATTGAAGGTTATACAGGTTAGATTAATAATTCATTGATTTAACTGACGTGATTTTGACCCTAAGTAAAAGTAATGGTCGCACTCGACAAAGCGTCTTTGTTGTTATGTAGGGCTCGTATCGTTGTTGTCAATCGTCATCGATTCTGAAATGCAGTTCATTTTACTATAATACGCCATGTATCATACATGAAATTAAAGCTTGTGAAGGCCAGATTTATAACATATTGATTTAACGGACACAATTTCGACCCTAAGTAAAAATAATGGTCGCATTCGACAAAGCGTCCATTTGGTTGCACCATTGTGAACAATGAAAATCGCCGAACAAAACCAAACGATTACCGACCAAACAACAGCGCATCGAAATCCTGCATAATTTAGTATGTTTAATACATCTGTTTAGTGATAAATTACATTGAACATAAAACATTGTTAGTGCTGGATTATATCTAACACCTGTATGTTCAGTACGTCAGTATAACTTCAACAGAGCGTTTGTCTATAATTCAGACCGTAATTATTAAGACTTCAGCTTATTTGCAAAGTCACTCAAGTAGATCAATGTTCTTGTTTATTACAAAGTCCTTGCTTGCTTTTTTAAGTTTGACTTATTGTTATGCAATTTCAAAACACCGCAGTGAGAAGATCACAAGTCTTGGTTTATTGTTACATTTTCTTTTTATGTTATTGCAATTAGAACTTACTTAAAAAGTGTGCACGGGTTCTTTGTTTAAACAAGTGAGAAAATCATCAGTTTGAGCTCTTTGTTTCTTTGACAAAAAGGAAAAAAATTATGTAATTTCAAAACACCGCAGTGAGCAGATCACAAGTTGTGGTTTATTGTTTTTCTTTCTACGCTATTGCAGTCAGAACTTAAAGTGCACATGGGTTCTTTGTTTAAACAAGTAAGAAAATCACAAGTTTGAGTTCTTTGTTTCATTTCATTAACCACTCCAAACCATTCATTTTCCATTCCATGCAATTTTGATTTCTCCAGTGTGTATATAAGGTGCTGTCATCTTGAAGTATCCATAATCGCTTTCATTGGTCGAGGAATTACACTAGATCAGATAATGTTCGTAATGGCAGACTTTTGTATAGAATGTTCACAGCCTCTATATTTACGCACGCGAAAGAAAAAGCGAGCGAAGCACATGTTTTGCGCTGGGTCCAGTTCTCGCGTGATTCTATCCACGAGTATGATAAAATAAAAATACGAGAAAATAGAGGGCTGTGAACAGTCTAACTTTCGTATCACTTGCGAAGCACTTGCAAGACCCCGTCAGGAGGCGTTCAGTATGATGGCTATAACAGGTGAATAAAATACTTTAAGAGTAAATTTTGTGTTTTGTTACTTGCATATGTGTAGCGCTACAGGGCCCTGAAGCAGTTGTCCATTTCGTTAAGGGTTGATGCCATTTTTGCAACACTTAGAAATTTCTACAAATGGCATCGACCGTAAACAGAAATCAGCTGCGGTGATTTTTTTGGGTGTCTTTAAAACACGAAGTGGTGAAATGAGGAAATGGCACTTAAAAATGTGAGATACGGTTAACCCATACAATTATTGAGAGCTAACCACCTTCAAGTCAGTGATCTTTAGGCTAACTGAAGCGCTATTTAGGCTAAGCAAAGCACTGTTTAAGCTAACTGGAGTGCCATTTCGGCATTTACGTCATCATCATACCTCATTCTTTCATATTGACCTGCGCGAAGACGTAGGACCAAGTTTTGTGTCAAAAATGGCACCCAAAACAATGGAACAGATCGAGCGATGCAATAAGTCAGCATAAAACTGAAGGAAACAACTACAAACAAGCAACGTGCATGGAACAACAACGTGAAACGACCGAATAGAGTAAACTAGAGAAAATGAAGATATAAAAAATCGATTTTTTATGTAAGCTAATTTATTATTTTTGATCGTTCGTAAGCTTATCGTTTTTCGTTTGGATCTCGGGTGTTTTGTAACTATCTTTCTATCGAAGGCGTTATATCTTAATGGTAGGGGGCATTGTGTCTTATAGGGGTCGTTATGTCTTGTAGTTGGGGGGCGTCATGTCGGGGGCGTTATATCTTGGGGGCGTCATGACCGGTTACCCGATTCAATATTTCTATAGCTTCTCTACGAATCAGCTGTTTTGTCGCTGAAACTCGCCCGTACGAAGTGAACTCCCGAAGACTCGCGAAAACGTAGCTTACCACTAAATTATCTTAGAAATTATGAGCGTGCTGCTAACATACACGATGGCAAAAACAGTAACTGAAGTTGGCCTGTCTATAAAAACGTAAACATGACAAACATGGACGTCCGAAGTACAACGGGATCAAACTAGAGATTTATCTACAGGTTAATAAACTGTAACAGGCAATTAAAACCATCATAATGCATTGAACTCTACAACTTAAAACTGTAATTCAGTTTTTTTAACTCTTACCATGGCAAATATTTCCTGTTTCAGCCAGGCTATGTTCAGCTGGTAGTTCAGCTGTGTTGTTCTCTGCACAGTTCCGCTCACCAGTCGCGTGGGCTAGTCCTGCATGTCCCAAAAGGGCAGCATGTTTCGCGCGCGGCTCCACGCAACAACGAAAAGGCTCTTGGGAAGAAGCGTTTTGGCGGGAATGATTTTCAAACAAGAAGAGCGCCAGTAGAAAGGTGAGTTTGGAAATTGTTATCTTTTAACCAGTCTCTTGCGGTAGGCCGCGCAAAAGGTCTTTCTTCCATTCGATTTTAACAGATTAGAGTATTTAAAATGAAGTCGATAAGACTTTCTTTTAATCTGGAAGCATCTCAAGGACGCTTTTCATCGTGAAGTCAGCAAAGCGATGTTTAGTGTGTGGAAGATTCCATCGTGGAGACATTTGCAGAGCTGCGATGTGTCGAATCTCTACGTTGGTACAATGCCGTTCTTTCCGTTTTCCCAGCAGATATCAGTGCTTCAAATTTTCCCTGTCAAGCTCAGTTCTAAAAGCTACAATGATTGGGTCGAAGTCAATCGGACCAAATACATCGACGTCTCCACAACTTGTTATTGTGGAAGGAAACATTGGGGTTGGTAAATCAACTCTAGCGTGCCAGCTGGCAAGACAGTTAAACTATCGTGTGTTCCTGGAACCCACAACAAAGAATCCTTACCTAGCTAAGTTTTACCGTGACCCAAAGAAGTACGCCTTGAAATTACAACTTTGGATCTTCAATCAGCGATTCAGAACTTACATCAATGCCACCAAACATATTCTTCAAACTGGTCAGTAGAGTTAAAAATAAAATAAACTTACTATAAAGGCAATTATTATGGACAAATTGCATTTTTGTAAATGATTATCAGTCAAAAACTAATTCAGGGTCTGGGTAATATTGACCACTCCTTTAACAAAAGTGGAAAAACTCTCTCCTTTCAAACATGTGGAATGGGATAGGGAGGTGGATAACCTCAGAGAAACGAGTAATCATTAGACACAGAGGTGATGGAGGAATAAAGGACAGGAATTTTATAGGTAATTCTACGAGTCAGAAGAGGAGGGTACAGTAGAAGACAGTTTGGCATTTAGGACATTCTGTTCCCGGGGTTTTAAATCATGCACTAATTAGCTGAAAACTCCGAGGTTGTCCCAGTTGAAGTGGTTGTACTGTACTATACTTACCGCTATGTAAATGGTCTAAATGCAATATATTTTATGATGGTGCTCTTGGGTTAAATATATTTAAAACCTTTTTACAGGTCAAGGAGTACTATTGGATAGATCAGTTTTCAGTGATGCAGTATTTGCTGAAGTGAATTATCAGCAAGGGACCATCTCTCCAGAAGGTGCAAATTATATCCACATCAAAAAATTAGTTACCCTGTCTCTGAATATATTTTCTGTAAGTTCAGAAATAAAGTGATATGTAGTGTTGCATTTCAAAACACACTTGTTTCTCCACATTTTTGTTTGACAAACAGCAGTGAACATCTGTGATACTACGTTAAGCAAAAGTTTGTTTGTCTGGGTTTTAAAAAGCTAAGCAGTAAAATTCCTGCTTGGTTTTCATTGGGTTGAATTGAGCCATACCATGATCAATATGATTTTCCTGTCTTCTAAATGTTATTTCAAGACTGATTGTTACATGCATAAATTGGACTGAGAGCAAAAAACTCGACAAGGCAAGACGTGGTGGGACCTGGGCTTGCCCCACTACCCCTGACCCATCATTACCTTACCAGACTTTGCTTATACAAAACTCATGCTTTGCAGACTAACAAACAAGGAGAATAAAGAAAGTCAGTCTAACCACCAATACAAATATACATCGTACATGTTTTGAACTTGGGCTGAAATAGTTGGATAAAAGAACTTTTATCCTATTTATTTTTAGTGCAGAGTGTAGTATTGGGATGGGTTAGTGGGCTGCTGTTCGCTAAGTCGCTAACGCCAATAAGGTGTAAACTTTAATGTTTGGTTAATTAATTAATTTCAATTAATCGATTAGCCTTGCGGGAAGGGGGGATTGGGTACAGTAGGTACCCAAGTGCATTACGCAAAACGTGTCATACTTACATTACTTTCTCTGATCACAGGATAAAAATATATATATGGTTTTGCAAATCTCATGCTATCCTTGTGGTGCCATTCTCTCAAGAACAAAAGCAATTTGCTCCAAACACGTGCGCAGATTAGTTAGCGTCAAAGTCGACTATATGTTAGGTGAAAGATACGTTTCATAACATATAAGATGTGTGCATTCTAGCATTGCTAGTGTGATAAACTCCATTCTCGCGTTCAGATGCACGGCTTTTTTTATTTTTGTAATGAGTGATATCACACTCCCGTTTTGGCTGGGATGCAGTTATATTTCAGGTAACATCAGTTCTCCTTTTTTAGTGCAAAGAACACTACTGTGACTGCATATCTTCTGGAATCTTCCCTAGCTCGATTCAACAAATGTCGCCTGCTGTTTTATAACTATTCTGTGTTTGCCAGGGTTGAAATAGAGAATGGGAACATATTTTTTCTCCTTAGCAGCTTGTTTGAAAGAGAGCCCAAAGATCATATTCAGCCGAAACTTTCCCATGTTAGTTACATGTAAAACTAGTAAATTTGCAACAAAAGAAACTTTGTTATTATTGCCGCAGTCTCCGTGACACTTACTGAAATCTCCAATTAATTTCATCAGTCAATGAGGCAAGTCGCTCACCGATGTGGGATATAACTTCGGTCCAGTAAAGATCTCTACCTTCAATACTTCTCGTTGAAATGCTCCTTAGTTATATCACTCGATAGCGTTGTTTATTAGTTTGATGTGGTTTTATTGTTCACACCAACTCGGCTGGCAACAGAATTAGAACACACTATTCCGTGATGCAACGTGACTATTTGATAATTAGATTAATTCTCGTTTATCAGTGAAATGAAAATTTACATTTTGAATAAAACAAAGTCGTTCCTCTTTGACTTTTTAGCAGATATTTAACTGTTATATTCCATTTATCTCCAGCAGTAAGTTAAAAAAATACACATCTTATATTTTTGTGGAAACAAGGGTATCTTGTTGCATACATTCATGAGGAAAACAAAAGTATCAAATTACAAGCGTTGGTGTGAAAAGTAATGCTACAAAATGAATGAAACTCAAGATAAAATACCACAATAAACTTAAAACCGTCTTGACAAACAGTAATTGTAAGTTATTTTTCGGCAAAACACAAACATGAAACCTACACACAGCTAAGATTATGTCTTATCAAGTTTTTGAACGCTCATATTCTGCAAAGGGGAAAAGGCCCAGTTGACTACCTAGGGAAAGAACAGCAGGGGTTAGGGCCTGTGTGACTACTGCATCAGAGCCGTAAATTACACTCTGCACTATCTGAGATTGTCTCACTAGTTATAACAATTTGCTCTGAAATGAATTCCTTCAGGTTATGAGTACTACAAAGACTTGAAGAAGCAAGCTTTAAAGGCAGTCCTGGTTCCTCACACCACCTTATATCTCGATGTTCCACCTGAGACATGCAATGAACGTATACGTGGGCGAGGAAGGGTATGTCGTAGTCAGGGCTGTCAGTAAGGTTTAAGTCACCTGTAGCCCTGTTCTCCACACCCGTCACAAACTTGTTACTTTGTGGGTGAATCCTATCAAAAAGAGGCAATTTCACCCGTAGCATCAAGGGAAAATCAAGCATACTCAACCATAACAGGTGTTACAGGTTGCAACCCTTAATGACAGCCCTGATAGTAATGTATTTACTTCTCATAAATGATCAATGGAGTTTGTGGTGGAATCTTCGTCAGCTTGAGTTGGAATTTTGGGTTAGCTTTACAATTTCAAGTGAGAGTCAAAATTTTGATTTATTTTACTTAGGAAAAGAAAAAAGAACCTTACAAACACCATAAATATAGATGTTATTAGTAATCTACCTTATGGGCCTGGTTGTTGAAAACATCATTGACTGTCCAGGGTATAGTGGATAGGGTACAAAACTATGATGTGCTAGCCCAAAAGACATGTTCCCTCAAAATTTTTCACTAGTATCAAGGCTGTCAGTAGGGGCCAGTGGTCGGGTATTTTCCCCATCATCTGAGTTAATTTGGCTCACTTTTCTCTCCAAGTCAAATTGAATTCCATTGTAAACTACTTGTTATTACAGCATACAGGTCAGGCAGCCTTAGGCTCCTTAAATTTACTACCAGCCAATCAATACCCATTCATAGTCATGACCTGAGTGGAAAGAAGTACTGTAAGAGTTGTTTTAGATACACATTGACTCTTGCCAAGCTTTAGACCACTTTCAGCAGAGGTTCATCTTCCAAGTGATCTCTCTCTTGACGTCATTTTCACTAACATACTGCATATATTTTTTTAAGGACTATGAGAGTGGGATTCCATTAGAATACCTTAAAGGACTTGATGCATCTTATAAAACATTTTTAAATGAAATGAGGTAGGAAGATCTTTCAGACATTTTGCTGTGTAATATTTTCTTAAGCTACAGGTAGTATTTAATTTTCTTGCACCTGTAGCTTGAGATTTTGATGAAAGGATCTATTTACATGAACACTGCTACAGGGCCACTGATTTTAGGACTATTTAATCAAACAACTGTGTCATGTACATTGTTGCAAGGAACAGAACTGAGTAACACATAATCTCCTTCACAGCCATTTTTTGGGATGCCACACAATGCTCACTGGGAGCATTGCATGCCATGGCATCCAAAAAATGGCTGCGAAGGAGACTAAATAACACATGGCAATGCACAAACCAAAAACATATTACGTCAGCACACTGAACCTATAGGAACAGCTTACTGAACAGCATACATTATCATATATTGTTCTATGTGTTTAAAAGGCATTCCCTCAATCTTGAAACTTTCATCACTTGTTGTATTCCAGTCTTGTTTTAACCTCTAGATGTTTTTCTCCCTAATTTACATCAATATATAAATCAAATAATATCTCTAACCACACTGTGTTAATGTGGGTTTTTTTCTTCAAGAAACCTTGGCTCTAGGGTTATTGAGTACAACTGGACAGACTTTGGTTATAAGTTTGAGGTGAGTCCAAGGATTAATGAAGTTTGGCCTCATTCAACAAACACTGAGTTAATACCTTTGTCTTCTTTGTTAGATTTGTTTATTTATTGTAATGCTCACATGACTGCCCAACACATATTACAGAAGCACAGAAAACCAAATGCACCCAGCAGTTTTCCCTATTAAAGAACAAAGCTTAAAAAAAATTGTTCAGTTGTCCAATAATTAGGAAATAGAAAACATGTACGATGTTTCTATCGAGTTATAGAAACACGAGAGGAAGTTTGGGAGAATGAGAAATGCTGTGGGAACACAAGCTGCAGCCGAGTGTTTCCACAGCTTTTTCAAGTTCTCCCAAACTTTGACCAGTGTTTCTATTAAGCAATTAGATTATTTGATCTCGATTTCTATCGTGTGATAGAGACAAGTTATAGAAACACGCTTTTTGACCAATCAGCGCACATATTTTCTTAAGACTGTTTTCTAAGTACCAGTAGATTTCACTGCTGGGAATTCAAGGTAACTTTTCATTCTTACCTGCCTGTCGGGCAAGGGCCCAGGCTTGTTGTCTGCCAACTAAATTAAAAAAATAATAACTAAGACTTGCCCAGGGCTAGCAAAATTCGAGATCTCCTTGTCCAAAGGGCAAGCTGGATTTAAGTTTTATTCGAACCCTGAAGAACATTTCTCATAGTCGGATTTGTAACTGATTGATTGTCAAATGGTTTTACAATAGTAAAGAACAATGAGAAACAAAAGTAGCCCACTCATTTTGTGGAAAATGAGAATGTACTGGATGTTTACCAGTAAACATAACTGTTGGTCATACTTGCACAGCTTTTAAGGCCTTGGTTTGGGTAAAGATGGTAATAATAGCTGAAGACAAGCAATTTACATGTCAAATAAACTTTTGTTACCTACAGTTAGTAGGTTTCATTAAGTTTTGATGTAGGAGGGTGCCAATGGGAGAGTAGGTGACACCAAAAGAACATATGAAGTAATTTTTACGTCATTTATAATTTGAAATTTCGAGTTCTGAGGAGCTAGTTGGCATCAAAACTGACAACTCATCACAGTTTCTGTAAAATAAAGTGACTTGGAATCCCCATCCCTCCCACATTTTGGGATGCTACTTGGTAAAAAAAATAAATAAATAAATAATAAAAATGCAGGGCAACCAGAAAAAGATGGATGGCACTTAATTACATCTAAGTGTAGAACATTTAGACGATCAGTAGTTTTCCTAAAACTCCTGGATGACATACAAATCTTTTATAGGTTACTGCTTACAATTTGCTAGCATTCATCGAGTTGAGAAGATTGCTGTGGGAGTGTCATCCCCAAGCAGGGGTTTCATTAACATTTTCACAGGCAGGCAAATCTTTTTGAACTGAATATCTTTAAATGAAAAACTTTCCTCAACAACCCTTTCACTCTAACATTCAGTGCACTAGCCATAAGATTAGATATCTTTCTATAAATTTTGATTTAAATGTGATTATTTGCCCCCACTGGTGTCAATTTGCTGCACATCCTGAAATCCACTTTTATTAACCTATGTTTTTTGAATATTTTTTTAAATGATATTTGTTTCATTTAGGTGGCAGAGGACATCAAAAGAGGTCACATCTCCAGATGGAGTCAGGAGGACCTAGGTCTCTTTAACAAACTGTAAGTTTTGCTGAATGCAGTGGAGAGAAGGTAGAGAAAAAACTTAAAGTGGGGAAGTGACTTAAATGTTAGTTTAAAGAACCTTGAAGATCCTGAAACTCTCCATCTATGAGAAGGAAATTTACACTTTTGAACATTTAGACCTGATCATAACATTGTCCTGAAACTCAAGTTGGGTCTGCCAATCAGAAGCCAAAGTTTTATAATTTGAAAAACCATAGCAACTGATAAGAGATAATGTTATAGCATGGTACAGTACTTTGACAATCTTTTCAGCATCCCATCTCCCACTACAGACATTGAACTCCCTGTCCGCCTCCCGGTGTTGTAACATTACAAGCATATTTCCATCCTAAGGACTGGGTATTCAGACATCTTACCAACATGTAGGGTTTCTCATTCCCCCTGGATTTTAGTTTATTGCAGGTCACCCTCCAGAACTTTTCACTTTGCCCCAACAATTTAATGACTTCCAGTTATTCTTTCAATGTAACAATATTACAGGTTCCAAAAGAGAGAAATTGTGCTTTTTGGCTAAAAAGGCTCAAACTAGTTTTTCTATCCTTTAAATGACATTAAGGTTATGATTCAGCTAATCAATTATTTTTCTCATAGAGTATTAGATGAGTCACGGGTAAAGGAAGTGTTGACATTAGATCGCTCTGTTCCAGAAGCAGTTATCAGTGAGGATGAAGAGGTTTGTACCATACCAATGTTAGTTGCAGTAGTGTGAACAACTGGTTTGCTAGTTCAATAGGTTTCAATTATATACAAAAGAGATGTTTGCTGGTGGTGTTCATAAGCTCAATGCAAGCTACATGGCATTCCAAAGATTTTATTTGTGCTCACCATTTAATCTAGGTAAAGCCTGCCTTTGAGCGAAGTGGCCCATCAATCTGGTGACTACCTTAGAATTCCGAAAGTAATGCCCTCCCCCCTTCCAAAAAATAATGACTCTTCAAACGTAACATTAATTTTTTTTACCTTCCTATTGAACCCCGAAAGTAATGGCCCACCCAAAGCAGTCCTTTGAAGAAGTCACTAAAAGAGAGGCTCTCTGATCTTAAGTGTAGTGTGGATGGAACAGCCTGACTGCAGGACTGGACAACTTGAAGTCAGAGTTATTTCTGATTTTACTTCAAACTTAACTGAATTTTTCTTGAAACTATGATTTATGAGCTGTTTTGGTCTAGCAGCAGAGTAAAATGATACACTGTAGTGTAATCAGTTGCATTGTGATATAATGCGACCATAGTACTTTAGCCCATGCATTTAGCTTTGTTTATGTGGGTAGTTAGGAACATACGTAAGTGGAACTTTTAATTTCATGTGTTACGTGTCCACTTTGTCTGAAACAACTGTTACCGTCAGAAACGGTTTTTAACCATCTGAAAGTAACAGCTACCTAAAAGTAGCAGCCCCTTTTGCCTGCTATTTCTCTCGCATGAAGTGACAAGGAGTATTTTTCTTCTCCCTGGATCAGACACTGGTCCATTTCAGGGTTATCATTCAATATCACTTTATTTTTTGGATGGGAGAGGCTATGTGAGAGTGAAGTGTCTTCCCCTTGAAAATAATACTAACAATGATTCCAGCCAAGGTTAAAACTCCAAGATCTCAATTTCAAACTTGTCTGGTGATCAAACCATAGTGCTCAACCTTAGGAATGAGTTCCACAAAAAGCTTCCACACTGGCTGGTTAAAGATTGCCTTGCTTTGAGCTGTGGTTGTTTCATGTCTGCGTTGAGCAATACAGTTCATATTCTTATCTTTTAAAAAATACTTTTTGTGTTGCAGCTAATTTTCATCAATAATATTAATGATACCTCTGCCTGATTTTTTTCTTTTTCTTTTTTTCCAAACAGGAAGAACCTTCTGTGACAGCAGAAGCTCAGCTCCAGATTAAACCAAAACAATGTACCATAAACAAGAAATTAAAAAATTTAACCCAACATTCAGTGCCTCCTGTGGAGGAAAATTAACTGCAGTAGTTGTTTTCACATTACCATCCTAGAGATACTTATTACAAAAGAACTGTGCAAAACAAGGGAATGTTAGAATAGTTTGTACCTTCAAATGGTACCTGACCTCAAAACGAAAATTTTAAATCACCAGTTTTTAGTGAGAAAAAGTTCTTAACATTGTTTCTATGGGTATCATTCCATCTATATCTGTCTGTAAACCCTCACACTTGTTTGCTTGACACATGTATTCAATAGGTATAACAGGGAAGAACATGGTATAACCATTGACTATTTTGGGTTTTCTTTTTCTTATTACTGCCATTAGATTTTATGACATGGTATGTTTGCCCAAAAAAATGTATCCAAAAAGGCACAGCATTGAACATTCAAAATGTACGGCTTATATTTGTGTCAAATTTTCTTCTTTTATTTGAAAGTGCAAATCTGTTCTTACTAACAGTAGAGTTTTTCTTTAGTATTTAAGATATTGTTTCTTTCTGATTACAACTACCTTGTTCTATAAATTGTCATTGATGAAAAAATGTTAATTATTTATTAAAATAAATACTTCTACTCAAAACTGCTGACGATCACCAGAATTCATTATATTATTTCACACAAAACTGCTGGCTACGATCAAAATGTTTTTGGCATGCCCCTGCATTACTGATAAAGCTTTTTTAAAAGATAATGTGTTACTTGATGACATTGGAATATCTTTCAAGTTATTTTATACTTAAAAATAATTAGGATACCGGTATTACTAGCAACAATGCTATATATTAATGTATTTAACTGCTTTTGAATTTCACAATGAATTCCAGATTTTACAATAATTTTATTGGGATGTTATGATGCCACTCATCAAAATATTGCTATTTACTAGCATGCAAGGAGCTTCTTTCCATCAACAAGAGAAAGTGGCCACATAGAGTAGCCACTTGCACATATACATTGATAACATACATTTACACTGATAATTGAATAAAGATGGTGGATTTCCACTTACACTGTTTTACATCAAATATTCCTATTGCATCTTTTGTATTGTTTGTGAAAATAAAGTCTTTTGTACATAAACCTCAATCTTGTTTAGTTCATACATTTTAGCACCATTTTCCAGCTCCTGTTACTACTTTTGGTGCTCTGTGAGTAAAATTGTCAAAATTTGTCAAGTAATAAGACTCTTTTACCAAAAATATGGTTATACCCCTTCCCATTTAGTTAACATCTTTACAGATAAAATGGCCACCTCGTCAAGATGTCTTTCTCATGCTGAAAACTATCTCCCTGTTTTTTAGATACAGATCTTACATAGCACATTACCAGATTCAGTGTACTTTATACAACCCATCTTTCACTGCCACCACCACAATAATTGTTTAGTTCTTTTGCCAGTGATGTTTGTTTCAAAGGCAGTAAAATGAGGGATGAAAGGAAACTTCTGGAAGACAAACCCAGAGTCAAACTACACTCTAATCAAAACACTACAGCCACTTTACAACTTCCTGATTTAGTAAACGGAATTTGAAGATAAGAATTGTGGCACAAGCCACACAAAGTAACAACTTGCAATACCCCCAAAAAAGGGGGAGAATGGATGGCAGTGTGGTGAGATCACTTGCCTCCCACCAACGTGGCCTGAGTTTAAATCCAGGACCTGGCATGTTTATTGTTGGTTCTCACCTTCCTCCAAGGTTTTTTCTCCAGTTTTCCTCCCTCCACAAATTCAAATTTGGTCAGGAAACAGCAGATGAAAGGTCACTGCAAACTCATTGAAAATGAACGATTTATTCCATAAACGCAACAAAATTTATAACAATATTCATCTGCTCTTCGACCCGAACGTCCAGCTCACGTTTTTTTTTTTACAACATGTCATCACTCGGACCTAGTCTCCACTCGGTAAATAGGCAACGCGCCTTACACAAAATGAACACAAAATTTCAGTTCGGAACACTCATAGTTATGGGTTTATTTATATAATTATTTATCTTAAAAGGTTATCAGGGATTCACTTGACCATAGAATTAAAGGATGATGTATATGTTAGTTAAAGTGCATAAGATGTTTAGTGATGAACAGGGTGAAGAGAATGGGTAACCCAGTAGTTTCATCATTGCATAAGAAATAGTCTGTGTGATAACAGCCAGGGTCTCTGTGTAATAAAGAGTAACTTACAGTAAGAGGGATCTTTCTAAAGGTTCACCTATCTTGTTTGATTTACGTGTTAAAATATACAGTCGAACCCCACTATTTCGAACTCTGGGGAAACAAAAAATAGTTTGAAATAGCCAATAGTGAATGACTGAAGAGCAGTTCCAAGGGAAATTGTTTTGAGCTCAAAATAACGGGGAATTCGAAATAATCGAGTTCAAATAAGTCCAGTCTAACTGCACTTCACAATGGTCTCATAGTCTGAACTGATTTTCTGAGACAAACAATGCAGATGTACATTTTGTAAAAGAAGCTCAAGTAAGTTCTGTTACAGCATCTTGTTTTTGTGTTAAATGCATTAAATGGAACCAGTTATTCCTGGAAAGCAACATTCTTTCTAAACAACCCCACCAAACAGACAAAATTTTATGGCATATCAATACCCATCCCACCCCTGAAAATGACCAAGCAATCAAATTTTAGTCTTACTAAAATTTCTTTGATTTTCTCAGATTAATAAATTTCATTGCAAATGACATATTCTTTTTGAACTCAATAAAACACTTATTTCATATTGTACATAACACTAACAATGGATCAGTTACAACTTTAAATCATTCAGACTCATAACCAGATCATCCTTGTACTGCTCGTACATTTAATACTTTTAATGCTGTCTTACGCCAGGTTCATACGTCGCATTTCTGCCGCATCAAATTCAATTCAACGAATTAAATTCGACAGAAATTCAACATCTGAATTGGCTGCCGCATTTCTGCCGCACGTTCGACTGGTCTTGTCGCATTATCCAACAGAAATGCGACACTGATTCAGACGTCGAATTTCTGCCGTCTCGAATCTAATGCATACATTATGTTAATGTATTGAGCATGCATAAATGTTTTCCTGCCAAAGAAAAAGAAGAAACTTGGCCGTTCTCGACCCGATGCAACCTGAACATATTGCAACACATACTGCTCCGTTGTCAGCCTTCCCCTTCTTGTTCCATTGGCGGACAAGTTTTAGAAAAATTAAAGTCCTTCGTCGCTCAATATTTTCGTCTGCTATATTGAATACTCTACGTTTAAAACATTTTCCGCTTGCCAACATACCCGACAGTATAAATTCTGAATTAAGTACGACACAAGTGCAACATATGAATCCACAGTC